AAGGCTAGTACTATACCTATCACTGTTCTATATGAGTCAATAGAAGAGTTACTGTAACAATTAGCTTACAAAGTATTAAGTTTTATATAGCTTACATATCAAACAAAAACTATCATCATTATTATTAAACCATGTATAGAATATACATAACAGACCTGGCACAAAGCAGGTATTCAAAAGTTAGTGTCTGTTCCTAAGATACAAATGACCATCTTCTTCCTTCTCAAAGGACATAGTCCACTACTATCACTCACTCTTCCTTCTCATCCCTCTCCTCTCAACTTCCCTGGGAATAGAACAGTTCATCAGTTTCTACTATACCCTGGTACTTCTTAAACAAGTAAATAAAGGCTTTTATTTCTGATAACTAGAGGGAACGAGGATTAACAAAAGACATACATTAATTTATTTGGCAAATATTGAGTGACTATTACTGTTGGCACAGTGAAGGCTCAGGGAAATGAGTAGGGACGAGGGAGGAAAGGTTCTCTACCTACTAGTTTATATCAAATTAATTATTTAATGTAAATTACGTTATGCACTACAAAGGAGCAATAGAAATGAAAAGAAAGCACAAGTCAAAGAATTCAGAAAAGAACAAAGAAACTAGGCAGAGGCTAGGGCACCTAGGGCTCCACAGGCCCCATTCAAGGTATTGAATGTAACTAAAGCACAAGGGGAAGGCACTGAAAGTGACATAAATCAGAATTGCCTTTTTAAACAGTTAAACATGATGGATTGAAAATGTACGTGTGTTCCTGACTGTCCTGAAAAGACACTGAGATGACAACAGAGCAATAAAAAGCTATAAAGTCAAAAGGACAGAAAGAATAGAAAGGACACAGGAGATGACGTAAGGACAGAAGCTGTCAAACGGTTTACAAGATGGAAGCAGTGAAGGAGTAGTGACCGCCTTACTGAGCAGAGGGAGCTGAAACCTCCAGAGCAGAAGCAATGACAAGCTCGTGCTTCACCCCACAGAGTCTCAGAAAACCTCGGAAATGGAGGCACCTCGTACTGACTCCGCAGAGGACGGCAGTAGAGGGAAAGGCTAAAAATGCAGGGACTGTCACTCTGAAGGTGTCTGGAGGCTCAAGTCTCCATACAGCTCCTCTGGTCAGGTGATGACCCTTCCCCAAACGTGCAAGTAAAACAGTTTCCCCCTGGAGATACTGAACTAGAAAAGCTCCAGACCTAAGGCACCAGAACTATAAGAGGCCAGAACCATGACAGGCTCCGGATTGGAAAATAAAAGCAGGGAGACTTGAATTATTGCCCCATATCCCTAACAAAAGATTAGATAGTCCCTCTCTGATCTTTGGGGGTGCTCCAATTCAAAATACCCTGACTCACCTTGCAATGAAGCCCCTGGTTATAAGCCTTACTAGTATACTTAGGCCTTCAACTCCATATCTTAGTGTTGAGTATTTATACTTCATTATTTAATAGAGGATCAAACAGCTGACAAAATTTTACAACAAGAAGAACAACAACAAAACAAAACAAAGTTATCCAGAGAAAAAAGACACAAGTTAGAAGCGGGGCGGGGGGGGTGGGTAGTTAAAAATATATAATTAATATGGTCAAATAAATAAGCACAGACTATATATCCAAGAAATAAGTAACCAAAACAATCATTAAACAAAAAAGTATGTATATCTTAGAACTATAATAGCTGAAATTGTAGTGATTTGATAGAAGGCTCAGAAAAGAAAGCCAAGGAAATCTCCCAAAACTTAGAGCACAAGGAGTAGGGGGTGATAGAAATGGAAAATAGAAGAGAAACGAAAATTAGAGATTCCATCCTAGCAGTCAAAAATTCAACATAAAGGAGTTCCAGAGAGGAACTACATAGAAAAAAAGAAGGCAGAGAATTAGTGAAGGAATAAATCATTAGAATTTCTCAAAATTGAAGGATTCAAAACTGAGTCTGTTTGAAGTGCTTACTGAGTATCCATCAGGATGAATGAACAAAATGAACACTCTGAAAAGAGAGAAGACACCAAACCTTCCAGAATGATGAATCAGGCTGATCAAAGGATCTGGAGTCAGAATAGAAATGGATTTTTCAATAGCAATACCCATCCATGCAAACCAGAAGTCTGGTCATCTTACCAGTTGGGAGTGAGTGGTGATGCCACCCTCCAAATTAAGGAATATAGGAGCAGGCTCACCTATGTACAGGCAATTAGAATTGGGCTCATATGAATCTGAGCTGTAGAACACAGAAAAGTAAGGTAGGAAAGTTTTAAGTAAGTTACAATTTAATACTTGTCTCTGATCTTCATTCAGACTGAGCTCAGCTATTCTGAGATTTCCTCATTTACCCACCTTCTTAGTGCCTGATATGGGGGTCAAGTAATATTTGAAATTATAGTCTCAGGAATGATTCCCAAATTCCCCTTACCTTAGGGCGATCTCTACCGAAGAAGATAACTCCCTCCCCTCCAGATTTTGAAAGAGCCATGGAAAGGGGAAAGAGAAAGAATTGAGAGAGGATTAAACAAGCAGGGAAATCGTAGTGTTGACCATTTAAAATTACCTCTCAAGAGGGTGGCTTAGCTTACAGGGATGGGAATGAGTGCTCCTGGGATCTTCAACTCAATACCAATTCCTCCTCTACTTAATGCAGAGATCATTTAGAAGAAAGCTGTGTCAGAGACCTACCTGTATATTTTGACTATCAATTCCTCATATATCACTTAGTATAGCAATTGTGCTTAGTAAAATCAGTCTAACCTGCTCTCCCCTCCTTTACTGTTTCAGCAACTCCTTCAGAGTATGGGTGGCGAAGTAAATGCAAATCTGTATTGCTTGGATTACTTGATGGGTAGGCTCTTGTTAACTGAAGTAATTCGCCAACATTTTTTAAAAGATTGTAAATTTAAATTCTTGTCAGCTTATCCTTCAGCATTGAAAATAGTGACCTTGAATGCAGTTTCTACATTTCCCACACCTCTTACCTGAGCTGTTAATAAGTGACAAGAAAAAACTGATTTGATTCACCTGCTAATGAGCTGTATGAGATGGTCTAAAGAACAAAGGGGAAAAAATCAAAACCTTAGGGTATTAATTTTAGATTAAAGCAAAAATATTTCAGACAAATTCAGAAAAATGAATATACAAGTGATACTAACTCTGCTTGTTGGGGAAACACAGGTAAGAGTAACAACAGGCCAGGAACAGCATAAACAAATACCAGGAAAGTTATTTTCAGAATTTATTTACCTAATAATATTTAACACCAAAATCAAACATAAGAGGGTCATGAGAGAGACCTGCATTACCCCACTTAAGCAATTAGTGTCTGAAAGTAGTATAGAGATAAATTACTCATTTGGACTCCCACGTAACGGTTTGCTCATATGGTAAATATGAAAGAACAGAATTGCATTTCAGGTTATCTTATATGGGTCTGTCTAGACTGGAGGACTGGAAAGCAAGGACAATTGGAAAGGGCCCTATTAAAGTGTGTTACTTTACTTCAAAGATACAGTAGATATTTAATATTTTTTGACAGTGAAATCATTTCAAAATAGTCAATCTTATCTAAAAACCATCCAAATCAATGTGCATAAAAACAAAAAGTGAATGAAGCCTGCAGATTTTAGTTTGTCTTGATTCATGATAAAAATAGTCCTAGTTATACCCATTGTCCTATGAATCAGGTCAAAATGATTCAACTAATGAATGCTTAGCTACTGGGATGCCATACCTAGTATTTACAGTAAATTTACCATAGTGTCCTAACACAGGAAATAATTTATCATAAACTGCCTAGTAGTTTAAAATAAGATTACTTACTCTCCTAGTATAAATATGCTAACAAGGTCCTGATATTCCACTTCAAAAATAAAGATCCCCACCTAATAAAGGCTAAATCAATCTTCAGGTTATAAGAGGGTATCAAACTCTGTCTCAAAATAATTTAAAAACAATGTAAATCCATTTACTGTAACTTTGTGGCACACACTTATTAACATTATTTTGTAGTTGTAGCTCCATGAGTGATTTTCACCCATTTGCATTAAAGAATTATAAGAACAGGAGAGTCCCAGCCCTTCATTTTACAGATTGAAAGAAGGACCTGAAAGCAATTTCATCAAGTAAAGCACAGATGTGTGTATGTGACAGATTTGAACTTCACTCCCCTCCCCTTTAACACTCATGCCCTGCTGTTTTCAGTATTTAAGTGCAAAAGTGATAAAGAAGTCAAATTGTGCATTCTCAATTGCCAATTACGGATTAATCAACAGTGAATATTAATACAAATAACATTTCGTTTTACGCAATACCTAAGTGAGTTTAAAAAAAGAAAAATCAAAGGCAATAAATTAAAATCTGACTAATCATAGTATTTATGCATAAAGAAGAACTGAACTGGGTAAATAGGAAACGTACCTTACGGTGAATTTCAGTGATAGCAATAAAAAGAACTCTCGGGTTAAACTTTGCCTCTAAACCATCATCATTAGAAATCATTTTAAACATGCTTTCCAGGCACATCTTTCTTTTCTGTATAGACGTCTGGCTTGATTATTCATCTATTCATTTTTTAAATTTAACTTTTTCAGTTTGCGTTCAGTTGAAATGACTTTTCAGGAAAGTAAAATCGGAGAAACCAGAGAGAGCAGCACACATGTGTCGTAAAGGTGAAGGGGCAGAGGACTGAGGCTGGGAAAAGTACGGAGAAAACGGAGATTTCTCTAACCCCCGCCCCGCAGCCCCAGCCAGCCCCAACTGCCCCAGCAGGGGCGCGGGGGCGCGGGGGCGCGGGGCCGCCCCTCCTCCCGGGCCAACTCCATCCCCAGCTCAGCGGGGAGGGGGCGCTGCGGGTACCGCCCCGGGTCGTCCAGGCCCGCGCCGGGCTGCGATTGGACGCGCCGCCGTCAGGCACCGGCCAGAAACACAAACGCGCTGGGAAGATGAGGGGGGCGTTCTAGCGAACCGAGGGCTTAGGCTTTTTTTACGTCTCCCCCCCCCAACCCCCACCCCTCCGCACTCCATGCCGGGTCTCTCTCTCCGGCTCGCCTCGACTGGCTGGCACGGCGGGAGAGTTGGCGCAAACCTCGCCGCCGCCGCCTCGCGCGGGTTCCCGCCCCAGCCTCTCCGCCTTCCCCTGCGCCCTCCACTCCTGCCATGGGGCTAACTTGTGGCTCCTAAGAGTTGCAGTTTCTGAGCAGCGCACTCTCCCGCCCATTTCCCCGCGGGCGGGCGATGGCTTAGGGCGCCCGAGGGGCCAGCCTAGAGGTAACGGGAAGGGGAAAGGACGGTTGTCTGGGGAGTAAGAGGCCAAACGATGAGTTTCCACAAGGAGGACGGAGTGAGCAGCCTATGCCAGAAGGCGCTGCACATCGTCACCGAGCTGTGCTTCGCGGGCCAGGTGGAGTGGGAGAAGTGCTCGGGCATCTTCCCCCGGGACAGGGGCAACCAGGGCGGAAGCAGCACAGGTAACCGGGGAGGGCTCCTCTCGCTTCCGCGCGCCCAGCCGGGACCCCGCGAGGCGCCAGGCGTCTGTGGGATGCCGCGCCTTCCTACCTTGCTCCTTGTTTCCGCTCAGCTCCTGGAGACTTCGAGCGTCGGCTGTTCGGGTTTTGTGGTCCTCGTCTCCACCTGCCCGGCTTCTTCCACTTCCCTGGTCTGCTCCTTGCCCGCCGCGCCGTCCCCCCTCTCCCCGGCTCCCGCACCGCCACTCCGCCGCTCTCCCACGCCTGCGGGTTGTCTTCCGCGGCCGCGAGGCGAGCGCGGGCGGCTGCGCCCAGCCCGCTTACCCAGCGCTGCCCGCGGGAGCCGCTCGCCCGCGGGACTCGCGCTGCCCTCTCTGGTCTCTGGTCTCGCGGGTCGCGAGCCTGGGGAAGGGGTCGGACCTGAGAAAAGCCCTGCTTGGAAGCGAAGAACCGCCTTGCAAATGGGGCTGCCTTGGATTCCGGGAGCAGAAAGGTTCCCAGGAAGGGTAACTAGCGACTGCAACCTGTCGAGCTTTTGACAGTGTCCAAGTCCCTTTATTAAATATGATTTTGTAGGGCTTCTTGACAACGTTGGCAAAACAGCAGGGCTTATTGGTCCTATTTTTTTTGAGGCGACAATGAAGGCTCAGGTCACATATAAAGATCTTATAAATCCTTTCCACACACATGTTGTCATACACACCCCAACACACGGGCATCCTCCCTCTCCGTTCAGGAAACTTGTGAAGAAATGGGGTGGGATGGTGAAGGACATTGACCGTCAGAAATCTGGAGGTGGAAAGAAGCCTCGGGAGAGATTTTTCTCGGGGAATGGGGGGAACCGTATCAGAACTACTGTTTGGTCACGCTTGGGTAGGGTTTTAATCACCTGCGCAATGTTTGGTTTGTGCAGCCTGTTTGCTGTTCACACGAACGAGAGGGACTCCAGAGTTGCGGGCCGCGTGGTTTCAAGAGTCCCTTGTGAGGGTCACTTGTTGCTTTGGGAGACAAACACTGGTTTCAGGATTTTCGGCATCGGGCTGGAAGATTGCCATTCCTGCCCTAGGTCTCGTTTCTCTCCCTTTGCTTTCGTGTCATTGGGCTCTCCTGGCGGGGCTTCGTGGGTTGAGGGTAGCCAGGGCAACAAGTGAGAGCTGGACCGCTCAACTCGAGTGGAGCACGACTGCAGAAAGCCTGGGAAGCTGGAAGGAGGTCAGGAGGGCACACTTAGTGAATCTCTCCTGCCCACCACCACCACCAAAGAAAAGGGAGAGGAAATGGGGTGGGGGGGGGGGAGGATTAGATGTGGTTTAGCTTTTACATACCATTTTGTAAATGGAATATCTTCGGGGTTTTCAAATTCTCTGATCATGGCAACAGGAACCAAGAGAGGCTTCTTTCTGTCTGCAGTTGGCAGAACCTGCGGAGATGCTGCTACTTGGACCCGGAGCAGAATGATACATAATTGGTGCTGTCCACATGCTGGAAATTTAGACATTTTGCGAATATACAAACACAAGTCTTTATCTCTTGTTCAGTGGGTGTTAATTCCTAGGAATGTATGAAACAACTATTAGTGGAAAGGACTGGTGAATACTGTGTATATGCACATCATGTGTGTGGTTGCTAAGCATGAGATAAACACTCAAAATAGTGTGACCTTAAAAGTCCTTTGTGGTGCTATTGGATAAAGTCTTCTGAACTGTCTTTAGCGATAGACATGCTAAAGATAAGACTCAGAGAAGGGGGGCATAGTGGAAGAAATTAGAGTATTTAAAGTTAAAGACCTATAATTTGGTCATTTAACAGTTGATGCTGTAATCCAACTGGTTTGTGATCACACACCAAGTAGTGGTTTCCTGGGTCTCAGATGGGTTGGTAATGAGAATAATTTGTGAAGGTTGGAAACCAATTACTAGCTTATAAATCTTTCTAAGTACACAACCATATAAACTTAAGGTAAAACACAGTTCATGAATTGCAGAAAGGGTTTGGACTTGTAAGCACTACAAGAAGTAGTTGTAGTCCTCATTCCTTTTGGACTTTCCCTTGGAAAGAAAAAAGTGGGGAAAACCTAGTCTAAAACAATTACATGGATATTTTTCTTCTGTTAAGGGAAATATGTATACTATCCAAAAGGGGTATTTGATTTAATATATGAATATATTTTGAGTGGCCACCACTAAAGAAGACATTCTATTAGGTTGTATATGAGATATAAAGATGCATAAGATTACATATTCTATTTGTAAATCTGTGCAACAATTAGAAATAAAATACTTTAATCCACAGATAAATTCCCAACAGCAATAGATACCTTTGAAATGGATTCAGATATTATTTACTGAACCTTTGTATTAATTAGCCACTCAGCTTCACATTGTTCATTTTCTTATAACTTATGAACATGTGCCCTTTATTACAGGACCCTAAATAAAAACATTTCTAGTAGGTGATCCTTCTACTCACTGTTTGTTTAATGGGAAACACATTATTTGTAGGAGGACATTGACATTGAATGGTACAGTGGTTATTTACTTTGTTAATCAGCACTGCCCATATGGTGTCAGTTATTCAAAGGTTGCAGTGACAATTTCAAGCTTCCAGATTGTGTATATTTTTAGATTCCTTCACATAGGAGTAGAAGGAGAGAAATTCCGGTAATCCCAATTAAAGTCATTCTACATTAAAGAACTAATGGATCATATATATAAATAAGATATTCTACTGGTTTTTTTAAATGCCAATAAAAACCATCCTCTTTACTATAGCAGCAATAGCAGAAATAGCAGCAGTGTTATTGGCATTAAGGATCTACTAATCAAGTTGACCAATCCCATGTTTTCATAAAATTTGTGAAGACGTAGATCGTGTCTGCCGACACCAGTTTACTTTCTTGGCATAGTTTATTAGAGATATTATTGATGTCAACATTACTCATACAGTAGAAAGTTCATCATGTGCAGTTTTTAGAAAATCAAATTTTTGCCTTATTTTTACCACCGATACTCCTCCCTCCCCATAGACATGTCACCCACTAAGTTCATCTTCATGCACAATATGACTAATACTAGAATGCTTAGGGAAAATACAAAACAATATATCTGCCTATAATGTTATTTTTCAGATATACTGTAACTAAGATACGTAATAGTTTTTGAACTGCATTTGGGTTCATTGCTGGTCAGTCTTTAATTGCTGCTCCATATCCAAATGCTTATGAGGTTTCAGGAAACTATGTTGCTTAAAAGGCAGACCTCATAAATCATAACTAATCAAACCCACTGAAGTACACAGTCACATCATAATTGTATAGACCTGACCTTAATTTAAATATTTAAATAAACATTTAATTCATCATTGTTTTAATTTTGCATTTTATACTTTTAATTTGGGACTAAAAATTCTAAAATAAAAGTTTAAACGAATTTTTCTAAATTCATACCTATGTTCCTCAATTTCTTAGATGTGGGGATAAGTAGGTCTATCAAAGAATTTCCTTGAAGTTACTTGACTAATAAAAGAGATGGCTAAGTAAAATTTTAAAATTATATCATGATTTTTCCTCTGAGATTAAAGCATTTTAAGTCTATGATAAGGGCTTAACATGAATAAGGGTGTTTCATAGGTTTTCTCTACAGACACAAAGCAAATGACTACTCAATCAATTTATAATTCTTGTATCACTACACCACTGAGTTTTACACATTCTAATGGTTGTATAAAAAGTTACAATTTAGAAATATAGAGGAAATGTTTCCTCAAGACTTGTAGGTCTGAGAAAGAGTAATTGAACCATAATGAATTCAGATAGGCCCATATGAAGAAGGATGTATGAGAGGATTTTTTGTCCTTCCTCCACACTGTCATTCCAATAAAGAATGGCCACCTGCTATTTCTAGTCTCATTTTTACAGGATCATCAATACATATTGTGCTTGGTCTCATTTACTCCAAAGGGAAATGAACAACTACCTTCAAAGGCCAAGCCAGTCTCAGCAAACATCTGTTTTTCTTAATTCTGAGATATCAGTATTTTGGCAATATTGACAGGGCCTTTTTTGCTATAATCTTTTTTTTTCTTGAAACAAATCAACATCTATATTTTCTCTTTATATGAGCTGTAAATCTCTGAAATCGGATTCTTACAGGAATGATTTCTTATACAAGATCTATAGCTGCCCATTTCATTCAAGTCTCATTTTCTTTAAAAGTTAATCATCATTGTTATTTTGTTTTATGCAAAAGACAAATGGAATGCACTTGCATTTACTTATAGGATTTCTTTTTTACAAAATGCTGGTGGGAGATAAACTATCACAAATGTTTATTGGAATCTCTAATGACAATTAAAATTATCCATATTTTGAAAACATAATTGTGTGCTTCCTGATGTGTACATTAAGTCAGTAGAATATAAGCTCTTTGAGAGCAGTGGTTTGTTTACTGTCTTATCCTCAGTACCTAGAAAAATCTGTGGCTCCTACTAGAGTCTCAATAAATATTTGTCAAACAAATGAAAGAATGAATAAATGGATTAATATATCCTCAAGAACCCAGTTTCCTTATTTGTAAAATGATGGGTGCTTTTTAATAATTTTCAAATTCCTCTGAAACTATATTATATATACTTGTGTCTTTGTGTCTCCAGTGTCCAATACAGGATCTTAGGTAGATAGGCATGCAAAATATGTAGTTTATGATAATGGCTGATATTAGAGCATTTGAGGCATTTAAAACCTAGAACATGAGCAAGTTACTAATGAAAAAGCAACTGAACCCCATATGGACGTCCAGTGACTTTCCCCAGAGTGTGTTCAGGAAAGGCTAAGATCCAGTGGCTAAATGTGAAAGTGTTGCATAATAAACCTATTAACTTTATTGAAGTTCTAGAAAAGTGGGAATATCTATTTAAAATATCAATGTATAATAGTAAAAGAAAGCCTGTTTGCTGAAGTAGAAAATAGCATGGGAAAAATAATCATATCATTATTCAAACACCTA